TTTTATTACTGATATCCAACAGCTCACTTCCTGACTTTAGATCGCTGTCCTGGTGTGACTAGCTATGAAATCATCCAAGATCCTTTTCTAAGAAGTGTTGCTATTCATGGTAAAGCAACATCTTCTAGCCTTATTTACGCAGATTGTCTCAATGGCTTCAAAGCCTCAGCAGCATTTACAGTGCACAGGATTGTACACAGAATTTGGCCCCTAACTTGTCCCACACATTAAAATCCATTTGAGTGGCCCAAGGAATTAACAAAGCCATTATTATTTTTCACAGGAACACCCTCTATTCTGTGAGTTTTAGCAATCTGGTTCTACAAAATAACATTAATACCAAAATATGCTAAAGCCCTTTGTAGGACTGTGGCTTAAATCAAAAGCTGGATGAAAATTATTGGAAAATGAAAAGCTCTAATTTTTGCATCAAACCATTCATTTTATTTGTAATACTGAGTGAGAGGAAAGGATAAATAATGAATTTATTAAGCAGGTATATTTAGTATATCTAGAAGTACTAAACTTTTGTTCTAACTAATAATTTATTCAACTAATAGTGAAACACAGCGTTCATTTTCATAAATTTCAAGATAGCAACCTAGCATAATTGTTGGGATTTCAGTACAAGATTCAGTTCTAGATTAAGATGCTTACATTTATATGTCACTGTTGCACCAGGTGTCCGAGTTACCATTGTATTCACTAGCAATCTAGGGATCAATCTGGCTTCCTAAACATAACTGTCTAGCACCAGTGTCCTCTTGTATTCTGCTTGGCCTTTGGCTGCTACTCAGAAGTGCAAATGTCCCACAGGTCTTTTATCACAACTGCCGTTCCTTTGGAGACGTCTCAGCCTTGAGCAACTCCAACAGTCATAAGAGTCAAGCCCCTGTTAAACACAATCAGAGCTCCCTGGAGAGCAATTCATCTTATTTCAAATGCTCTAGGGCTCAATTCAGTTGCCTAAAAAGAAATGCATGGTGCAGTCTTAGATACCATAAATTATTACGCCTGGCCTCCAACTGCCTCTTCTGATGGGCACATATCTCACCTGGGGCCCAGACCCTCTTCCAGGCTCATGAGGGGGGTTACTAACTCCAGGTACTTCATGTTGCGTTAAACATGTACATTTAGGGCAGCGTATTGTTCTCTGGGTCCCAGTGATTGAACTGAGTTTAAATAGGAGCTTGGATACCTCAGATGCCTATAAACCACATACATTTACTTATCTGTATTTTAATCCCGCACTCAGTGAAAGACCCCCATAAAGATAACAAGATGCAAAACAACAAGATGCAGGAAGTTATCTTAATTCTACATCACAAATTAGTATCTTTATTAAATAGCTATTTCACAGCTGACAGATGGAAGACTAATACCCACTTCGATTTGCTTGTTCACAAATGCCATACTCAAAGTGTATTAATATGCAGACCAACAAAAATCAGTTTATTTATTGAACTGGATGACACATCTAAACTACAGGAATTTGAATAGTCACATGAAAACTCTTCTACAGGTTAATATATCCAAACTCTTAGAAGCAGTAGGTAGCCTGGGAGGAAAAACAAGTCAGCATGGATCTGCAGGGTTCAACGCTTGGCTGTACTCATTCTGACCTGGCTTGGGTAATTCAATACAACACATCTTAACAGCTCCCAAATTATAAAGGTTAAAGACCAGTGATGTATTTGTTTATTTTGTCTAAAGGTGTTTATGGGAAGGCAACATCATTAGGGAAAGTCTGACCACATGCAGGTACTGAGGTGCAAAAACTGTGCACTTGCACTGTGTAACAGGTCAAGCAGTCAGATACCCTTTTCCTAAGAGGCTGAAAAACATATCAGACATACTTTCCATATGGAACTAAGGTACTTACAAAGTGGACTTGCTCAAATAAACTCTCTGATAACCTGACGTGAGAGTTCATAGGAGGATGCATCTTACTCTTTTTATAAAGTGGCATAAGCTATCTTAGATCTTTCAATAAGCTGTGATGCCCCAAAGCATTACTGTTAGTGACATTCTCCCTTCAACTCTAAGAGCACAGAAGTGAAATGGCAGCTAGGAAATTCCAGGCTTGAGCTCTGGTCAGTATTTAATAATCTAGCAGGATCTTAACTATCTCTACTCATATCTCTTTACCGGCTGTCATAGGTGAGTGATGATAGATTAGAAGCCATGCCTGGTAAAGTGCCTGCTCTTTAACTCCAAAGCTCTTCCTCAATTGCTCTGTTTTTGCAGCATGTTGGTAGAAGGGAATGAACTTGATGATCTCCAGTTTAAAAAAAAAAAAAAAAAAAAAAAAAATCTGCATTACTATTAAAGGTAATGTGCTAGAATAAGGAGCGTATACATTGTCTTCTTACTCCAGGGAATATTACTGCAACTAAGATAAGTTCTGCGTGCACTTAGGAGAATTGACAGAAAGGCATCTTCCCCGCAAGGATAACAACTTCAAACCTTATTAGAGCTATTTTTTCCCCTCCTGTAAAACTAAATGTCTTTTTAGTGTATGTAGTTCAACCTAACTTTGTAAATTAATATGAGATGAATGACAACTGCTGTATATCGATCTGAAACAATCCTTAAACAACTTCCAATTATATATATAAAATACTAATGAAGTGCAATTCCCTCTGGGATCCAAGACCACATTCAGATTGACAACTGCGACATTAAAGACTGCCAAAAGTGAATACAGAGCAAATTTTAACCAAGGACAAAGGGGCATTCCACTGCTACTAAAAAAAAAAAAAAAAAAAAAAAAAAAAAGGCAAGAGGAGCTTTAACAGTATATTTCCATCTAGGCTTAAGATCAGCCTCTTTGTCTGCAAAGTCAATTTATGCTCACAGAATTCCTGCCAGCATTTTTCCAGCAACACTGTAAGCTGTGAGTGCACAACTGCATGGCTCATAGTTCAATTTGCATTCAGTCTAATAAACGGAATCAAAACATGCAAGTTGTGTGAGTTGATGCACCTACAAAATAAGGACAATTACCTCTACATATACAAAGCAGGCAGGCAGAAATTTGATTTTACATGGTCACCTAAGACATCTGCAGACAGCAAAATGTTCCAGTCATGGAGGAGTCTAGTCCGTAGTACTGGAATCACACAGTTTGGTCTTGAGTAAATCATACAACCTTTACAATTTAGCCTCTCTTTTCAAAGGATCTGAAATAATAATACATACTTACTTAATTTCAAGGATACTGTGAGAATTAACTAATGCTAGTGTGCCTTCCAAATGTACAAAGCACTGTATAGAGCAAACAATTTAACAAGCTTTGTAGAACAAAGATTTGCATTATCCTTGCTGCATTTAGAACATATCATTTCAGGTAACAGAGTTTTTTGAAATGTGATGCCTATATCAAGCTGGAAATTGTTATTCTTTCAGCTGAAGAATGTATTTTATAGGGTTTAATCACCTACCAGAATCTCCCACAACATCATCTCATATATCATACTTAAACAGCAAGGAGGCACACTGAAGACAACACATAACCCGTGAAGTAGAATATTGAGGGGAAAGTCAATTATTTCATTGAATTAGGTTGATAATACTCAGATACTATAATATTTTCTGCATTTACTTTGCTTGCTTCTTTGGTTTTTACTGTATTTACTTTGGTTCCTGTTTGATTAGATAAAAACCAAATATTTTGTTAAGAAGTATTAGATGATTAGAGAACCCTTCTAACCAGTTAAGTAGTCATTTTAAGCAGAATATTTTACTTAATTATAATTAATTAATAGAAACATAGTCCTTAAAGCATGCCTACATTCCAGTGAAAGGCAATGATCTTACCCTTTCACTTACTCTGCAACTCTTCTGAAATCGTATCATGTATCATCTCCTATTCTTATGTCCACGTCATCAGACCTAGCATGTGACCTTTTTCTTTTGGCTCATTGATACAGGGAGTCTTATAATTGCAAAATGAAACCCACAAGGCCTGAATCTGTAGGAGCAGAGAGGTGCCTTCGCAGAATTTCAGAGTGCCCTTGAATCCCACAGCTCATACTAGGGGAGGTCAGAAGATCTCTGCAGACATGGTTTCTCCACTCAAAATACCATCGTATTTTCTTTTTGTAATTTTATTTTTCTCCTTTCAGCCTAACCCACGGTACTCAGCTAGGATTTTTAGTTTCTTTTAAAAAGTGTTTCTGAACCTCACGTACATTATCAAGGAATATGCACTAGTCCATAGATGGTACTGCAATTCTGCACACAGGGCAAGGTTAAGGGAAGAAAATATCTCTGCCCTCAGCCTTGCTGGGCAAGACTGCTAAGTCAGAACAGGGTGTCGTGAGAGACTGGCTGAAAGAATATTTTAGGTCAGCACTGCCTGGCCTCCCTGCACGAGTGCCGCTGCTGCTGCTACAACACATTCCTTGCTCAGCTCTTCCATTAAACTGCAGAAGTTTGACATAATTTCTGTGCTGTTCCCTGCCCTCACGAAACTTGGAAAAACAGGTAGACAACTGCATTCAAAAGTGACTGTGACCTGAGAAACATCCTCCTGTCCTGTCCTGTTCTGTCCCTTTCCACTCCAGACCTTTGCTGGCCAATCCTTTCTGTGGAGTCTCTGAAACAGAACTTTCCTTTCTCATCCCTCTGCCCAAGTATTTATCACCACCTCCTTCCTCAGCACTGCTCAGGTAAAAAGCTGCTTCCAAGCCTCCTGCCGAAACCTTCAGCCGTGCCCCTGACTTTGTCACTGCTCTGTTTCCCTGTGATCCCCATCAAAACAAACATCTGCAGGATGCTACCTCCCACCTTCTCACGTCTCTGCAAAAGTGCGGCCGCATCATGCGTACTCTGAAACAGCAGTAGTACCCCTTATTTATTTCAGGGTTGACAGCTGACTTCTTAGATTATAAAATCCTTCTGGACTTAATTCAGCCTCTCAACAATTTAGATCTGTTTTCTGACCTCCCTTGCCATTCCACACGCTGTTGTCACAACTAGTTTTAAGACTTTGTTACCTTCTTTTACTTCCTCTTCTCTGAAATAGCTTCACCTCTGGGATTCTCCTTCTGAGGTCAAATCTCAGCTGAGAGGTTTTGTTTTAACCTTCTCTCTTCATTCCTTTTCTCTTCTCTGTTTATCATCCTTAAGATTTATGAAAAGTTCCCTGAAAAAAATTCTGTCAATAATCTTGGATTAAAACCACTATACATACAAAGCTTCTTTTAATTTCTCTTTATTAGTATTTGGGGGAGGAGGGAGGGAATTACCCACATATAGTTTGCTTATTTTTAATGTGAAATAACTTCAGCAACTTAAACTTTATTCATCATGGAAGTAATATTTTAACCACACTACCAAACCCTGCAGTATTTAACAAACACAGAGCAGTAATGAACATAAAGCAAGCCGTAGCAGCAGTTTGGTATACATGTGAGACGGTTGACTCAGAAGCCTGGAGCAGTAGCTCTCTGAAAAATCACACGTCAGCATTTCTTGTACTAAACTGTACTCTCTTTTGCATTTGAAAAAAAAAAAAAAAAAAAAAAAGCAGTTGTTATGAAATTTATTACATCCTTTTGGCAAAATATTATCCTCAAGACACCAACGAAGCTCCAAATCTTAGAAAGGAAAAGCTATAAACCTTAAACTAACAAGCTAACATTAGAGATTTGCCTATCAAACATTTTCTATGCACTATTACCAGAGAACAATGTGAAAATAACTGTTCCCTCTCAGTTCTCTGCAACTCACCGTGCAGTCACTGCTGTGCTACATTTCCTCTACCATCCCATTCTGAAACCAGAAATCAGTGCAGAGCGAAAGGTGTCGAAAAGTTTCCTGCTCCTGCAAGATACTGCAGCGAAGCACTGCAGCAGGGCAGCGCGTTGCCGGGGGGATCCCACTGATTAGCTTCACGTTACAGGGAAGCAACATGAACCGTTTGAATAATCTCCAGGTAATCTGCATTAAAACCATTTTACTGCAGTGTACTGCGGTATTAGGAAAGATTTCAATATTGTACCACGTGATGCAACACAACCTTATAGCATTTATCAGTTCATAGGCAGGGAGGGAAAGCTTCAAATCAAAGGCTGCAGTGTAGCAACTTTCCATTTTACAAAGCAGTATGACTGACTATTTTGGCTTACTATGTTGGCATATAGCGTGAAACGATACAACATTCATAGAATAAAATATTATGGATTTAAAAGCCAACATTTTTTTTTTTTTTCATTCTTTACATGGCCCCCCAGCCTGGTATCAAAAGAATCTTTCAATGAGAGTGGATTTTCCTAACGTTAAGGGTACAGTAAAGTTCTACAATGTTATTAGCTCAATGATAAATTAATTTTAGTATTCTCGAGATCGCTTTTCCTGTTCTTATTTCAGCTACCACATATATGCTTCCCTCTCTGCCCTTCCAGCTTGTGTATTTTGTAGTTTAATCTAAAATTGCACATCTGCTTTTCTATAGTTTTATGGCAGTCATACAAAGTGGTAACATTTCAATGTTATTCCGATGTTCACACAGAGATTCTAGTTATTTCTACAAAGTTTCGGAAACGTTCCTCGGATTTATGTGCTCACATCAAAGATGCATGAAAAGAGTATGAATTTCGTCTCGAATTAACCTAACTTCTCCCTCAGTAACACAAGCAAACCCAATATTGCGAAACAGTACCTGGATATATTTTTAGCGCGTGGCTTTTTTTTTTTTTTTTTGGGTGCCTAGTAGAATGAGGGAGTTTAGATGTGCATTTCGAAAGACCTCTGAAACAGCGTTCGAAAGTACTGAGTATCCTCAGAGTAACAGCTCCAGAGGCAGCAATAGCCACAGAGATGAACTCCTGCCATTATCTGCATCAGCAACGCGCCCCGGCCAGAGCTTTGACGCGAGGCGCGGTGCCCCAGCGCCGGCCGGGCGCTGGAGGGAACCCGGGGGTGACATCTGCTGCAGCACGTTGCGGTTCGCTGCAGTCCGAGGCTCTGGCGATGGTTATCGCTCCGGAGCGGCTCCCGCCGCCCCAAGCCCCGGCACCGGCCACCTCCTCCGCGGCTTTCCACGTGGGGGAGCGTCTCGGCGAGCGTGCAGTTCCACACCGCCCGCCGCGCGAGCACCGTCCACGCTCTGCGCCTTAAGGCGTAAGAGCCAGACGAGAGCTGGTGCGGTGCTGCGCCCCGGGCCGCTGCCCCGTCTCTCCCGCCGGCAGCTGCCGCCGAAATCCCGGCACCCGAAGCGCGGGTCAGCGCGGCGCGGGGCCCCTCATCCCCTCGCCGCGATGCCTCCCGCTGGCAGTGCCCAATCCTTTCCCCCCGCCACAGCGAAACCCGCCGCGGTTGCAGGGTCCGCCCGCCCGGGGAACCGCTACGGACCCGCCGCCCCCGCGGTCGCTGCCCTCCGCGTGGGGGGGGGGGGGGGGCACGGCCGCTCTCCCCGCGGGGGTCCCCGGTTCTCCCCCGGTACCTCGCAGCAGCCATTTTCCGCCTCCCTCTGCAGCAGCTCCAGCGCGTGATGTCACCGGCCGCCCCGGCCAAGTCCCCGCCGCGGCGGGGCGCGCCGGGCTCCCTCCTCCCTCCCGCTGCCGGCACCCCCTTCCTCCCCCCCTTCTTCCTCCTCCTCCTCCTCCTCCTCCTCCTCCCGCCGCCGCCCCGCCCCGCCGCGCCGGCTGCCATGCGGCTCCGCTCCCCCCCCCGCCCCGCCCCGCCGGTGCCCGCGGGCGCTCAGCCCGCCGCGCTTCCCCGCTGCCGCGGAACGGGAAGCCTCCCCACAGCCGCCGCTGCTGAGTCACGGCCTGAATTCCATCCCGCTCCTCCTCCTCCTCCTCCTTTTCCTCCTCCTCCTCCTCCTCCTCCTCCCTCCCCGCCTCCTCCCCCGCGCCGCCGCCTCCCGCCCGGCTGCCGGCCCCAGCACCGCGGTGCCGGCGGCGATGCCCGCCCCGCTGCCGGGGGGAGAGGCTGCCCGGCGCTGCCCGGCCCCCCGCCGCTCGCCGCAGACCCGCGCACGCACAGGGGCAGCCGGGCGCTTGAACCATGATTGCCGCGGCTTTCCTGGTCCTGCTGAGACCCTACAGCATCCAGTGCGCCCTCTTCTTGCTCCTGCTGCTGCTGGGGACCATCGCTACGATTTTATTCTTCTGCTGCTGGCACCGCAGGCTCCAGAAAGGGAGGCATCCCATCAAATCCGTCTTTTCAGGTCGCTCAAGGAGCCGAGGTAAGAGATGCCGCTCGTCCCCGAGGGCGGGGGGGGGGGGTGCTCCCGGCCCATCCCGCCGTTTCTGCCGGCGGAGGGCCGCTCTGCCTCCGTGCAGCCGGGCAATGGCTTTAAAGAAAATTCAAGCCGAGCCCAGGACTGCGGCAGCCTTGTCTCCACCCATCCCTTAGCGAAACCTCGGACAGCGGGAGAGGAGTGAGGGGCTGGGAAACCCCCCAGCATCCCCCCCGGCCCCTCAAGTGCAGCAGAACTTTATGCTTAACTTCTTCCCGATAAATTAAATATAAATGCCGGGCGGAGCTGCCAGCTGTGCCGGGAGAGCCAGACCCCGTCCAGGAGTATGCACCAAAGGGCGAGCAATTCGGTAAAACCGTTAGCCGGAACAAAATCTGAGGTGGAGCCTGTGTGTCTTTCTGCTTCTCTTCCAGATGCTGTCATGAGAACTCACCACTTTCGCTCTGAGGTAATTTATTTAGCACGCAATTTCAAGGTCAGAAGTTGTTCTCTTTACCTGAGTACATATTGTTGTGGTCTTTTGTTAATGAAATCATGTAGCAAACTTTTTATTTTGCATGAAAGACATAACGTCCTCTTTCCTTTTTTTTTTCTTTTTTTTTTTTTTTTTTTTTCCTCCACACAAAATGCAAGCTCTTCATTCGTGTTACCCTACCCGGCCTGCTGATTTGTGTCATTTCCAAAGCAATTGGTTACTTCAAGAAAAGCTGTGCTTACTGTACGTGCCAGACCTCCCTCTCTCTAAAAAGCAACCCCAAGCCCAGTTACTGACCGCACTGTAAATACGTGCAGAGCTGGCAGGTTTTGTGACTGCAGAGCTTCCGCTCGCCTGCTTTGCCGCCAGCCCTCACCTGCGCCTTGCTCCCCGCCGGGGAAGCTGCCCGCTTGGCTTGGATGCTGCTGCGGGAGATCCCAGAAGGATCCAGACTACAAGCCCGCTGGGCAGGCGCCTCGTTTGTGACTCTGGATTCAGAGGGCAATGGACTCAAAACTCTCAGATGCCAGTGCTAAAAGTATAACACAAAACCCAGTCACTTCCTAGGGATTCTGAATGAGGAGCATAATTGCTGGGAAAATAGGGAGAATAATATTTGTTTTAGTATCTACTTTGTTTCCATGCTGCCCTGTAGAGCTTCTGTCGAGATATTTCTCTTGCCTGGTTTCCTGCTATTGATTTAAGGCATATCTTCATGCCATAGCTTGTTATTCGGAAAGCCTTGAGTGAGAGTTTTTCACTGAAGTGATCTTTTGTTTTAAATTATTTGCATTTTTCCTTACCTGGCTGTGGGTGAGAAAATTACCCAGTTATGAGTAATGTTTTCAAAAGTGTGCATGGGGTATGTTTTTGCAATGTGGTTCATATTGGCAATTAGTTTTAAACTCCTAACTGTTTTGCAATTTGTAGGCATTATCATAAAAAAGAACATGACATAGGGAGTGTCCTATCTTTAATCCATAAAAAGTCTGGTTTTGTTGTTGACTGAACAGTGCTGCAGTAAAGCAAACAAACAAATGTGTCCCTCTGGAAGTCAAAAGATTTTTTCATGATTTAGTTCCTCCAATATGAAATACTTGGTTTTCATGTAATATTCTCTCACTCTTCAGCCTAGATAGAGATGTAGTTTAAAGTGTTACGCCCTTTTGAAATATCTGTCATCCTGTATGGTGACTCTTAAAAGAGAAGCTTGCAAAGTAACTAATTTATTTTTATTACTTCAGCATGTGGCTATTTGCATATCACCCAGTTAAAACTATACACAATTAAAATATTTCCTACAAGTTTCCATTTACTGAAGTATGCTCGAATAAAGAACTGTTACATTCTTTCAAAATTTCCTACATTTTGTTTAGACAGAGTAACACCACAGCTAATGGTCCAAACTGCCTTTTAAGTAAGTGGTGGAGCTGTTTCCCCCTTCATTATTTGATGATAGACTTTTGATTATTAAGAGAAAATGATGATTCATTTGATATTTATTAAATTTTAATTTCCCATTTAAAAAGAAAAAAAAAAGGTGAAACCTTATTTTAATGAATCTAATTGAATTGATTAATAACAAATAACAGGCATACTCCCATGAAAATATTGGCAGCATTATCTGAAACAAAATTTGACATTCTCATTCTATATCAGCACAAAACATTATGCACTTCCACCTCCAATAAGATATTGATGAAAGCAAAGCATGATACATGAAAATACAGGCTTTGAATAATTCCCCTCCCTTCCCCAATTAACAGAACATCTCAACTCCAAGTTTTATAGCACAAGATCCATCTGCTAGCTTCCACTATGCTTAGTTGTTTGTCAGGTGCAGTTATAAATGGTGTTTCTTAATGCTAATAAAAGATAATGAAAATTAGGCTGATAGTAAATAGCAGTGGGTTGGCATTCATCTCCTGAGAGCTGGGTTCAAATCCGACTTACAACACACGTGAACGTGCAGGTGGTCTAGCGGCAGTGCACGGAGAATTATAATTGCCCTATCTACGGAACGGTTGGCAATTCCTGCATGATTGGCTGCCTGCCAGAAAAGCCTTATATTTGGAAAAATAGATGTGTAGCAAATTTATGTTGAGGTTCTTTGCCAGAGCCACAGCTCTCATGGTGCATGCTTACATTGTCTTTGTCTATATACAGTGAAAACTATTTAATCCCTTTCCTTTAGTACCAAACCCTACGTTAAAAAATAAGACACCATGCTATGGGAGGGTAAATGCTAAATTTGAAAATGTGTTTATGATCCTTATCAGCTCTCCTGTTCTGAATTTTATATGCCACTGGTGAACTGAATCCACAAATAGTCTGTTTGTGTGGTTTTTGATTTTGAATGTCTGCAAAACATGCCTCATTATTATACAGCAAAAGTCTATGCAGATATTACTTATTATAGAATGAACTTAAGCATTGACCCCCTGCCTCAAAAGGAGGTAAATTTGCACGAATCATTATGAATATAAAGTAGGTTAAAGTCTCTTTGTTAGAGGTGCTTCATAACAGAAAAATTAACCAGCAAGAAGATGTGAGAGTTTCCTGAGATAATACAGCGGCGTTTCTACCTTCCCACTAACATTTATTTACTACCATCTGAAGTCTGTCAGACCCATTTTTTAAATATATTTTTTATTGCAGTTCTTTAAGTTCATTATGACTATAACTGCTCTTGAGATTCCTCCATCCCACAGGTACTATAGATACTCCATCAAGTCACACAGGAATCACACCCAGAATAGTTAATGTTTCTAATCTGAGGGAGACCTAGATATGCCACGGCTGTAAAAAGAAAACAAGTAAATTTCCAACGGAAATATTCATTGCTTACATGACAAATCAGACTTTGATGTAGCTATTTGCAGTAGTCTCTCCTTTCTTTATTTTGAGAATCAGTTGTAGAATGATGTCTGTGCTCAACCAAAACCACAGCAAAGTAACTATATAACTCAGTGAGAGTTTTACCAAAATAGGGACTATGATCCATTGTTGGTTTTATCATTACCATTATTATTATTCCTTGTATAGTCAAAATTGTGAATGTTATCAGAGATTCACGGACTTAATTCTTCTCGTGCTCTCTGTAGAAGTTTGGTGTTTTTTCATGAAGTACAGGAATTTTCTCTGAGTACTTTGGGGGCTTGGGCTTGATACATTCCAATGTTTAGCATCTTACACTTTACAAAGAGGTTTGAATGTCTCCTGTATTTTACAGTTTAGAGGCATTGCTTAATGTGCTGGTGTTGCCACTTTTTGTGATTTAGATTTCTTTCTGAATTAGTTTTCCTTATTCTCAAACCTTATGAAGTCATGAAATTATGTCAGATTTTCACCTTTCAATTAAAAAGGAAGTAAGCTGCTAGGCCTTAGACTGGAAGGAATTAATCCAAATGGTAAAATTCTTAAAATATTTTTATTCGGGGTAAGAACTGTTGAAAAAGAAGGCTCTCATTCAGGATCTTTAAATGGTTGTTTTTTATGAGATTGTGAAGGAATAATTGTGCTCACTGCTAAAACAGTAGTTGATGGTTTTCATAGTATTGGGGAAAAAAATTCACCAGATATATAAATATTTTGCCTGAAATTTTCTCTGAGCTTTACAGTTCTCCTTTATCTTACCTTTTAAATTAGAAATACTATGATCTCAGGAACTGAAGGTATCAGTGTCAGTGGGTAGTCACAAGCACTACGGTATCTTTTTGTATCTATGTAATTTTGACTTATATGTTTTAGGCAAATTTCCTGTGAATGCTTCCACTGAGACCTACAGGTATAAACTTACTAGGAAGAAAATCCATAGAAATTTTACAGTCTACTGTAAATGCTGACTTCACATAACCCAGGTGCATGCCTGGTGGGACTAGACATGCCAGTATGGCAAACAGGAGTTGACACTTTATGAAAAGACCCTCTGGGAGGGCTGGCAGCACATATTAACCACAGCTGTAGCAAAGGAACAATATTTGGTCATTTGAGTTTTGTAGACCCCACATTTTCTTCTTAGAATACTGAACAATCACTACAGGGTTATACATATTCAGTCTATTGTTGTGACAAGACTGGTAGTGAAATAGGTCAGCCAAGACTGATGACAGTTTTTAAGAGCAAATGAGTTTGCTAAATCATCCATTATGATGAAATGGATGTAAAACTATAGTACAACAATCTCCAGTAAATGTATATATTGGCTTTGCCAACAACTGATGCCCAGAAAAAGTGTTCATAAATTAAATTTATCCCTAAGCATACCTTCGCCATAATCATCCCCCTTCTGAGGCTGACTGTGAGACAGTTGCCTAAAAACAGTTCTAGATATCTTACAAAATCATAATGAAGAGTCTTTGAAGAGTTGTACTGTAATTCATCCTGAGCATTGCAGTTATTTATAAACAGCTCCAGTGAAAAGAAAAATCAGCAGACCCTCCAAGCTGAATTTGAGTCTTCTGTTTGATTTGAGAGAGTGCATTCAAGGAGCAACAGAAATGTACAGGACTAGCCAGAAAAAATACATTCATTCACCTATTCAGAGGATGTTTCTTTGTCTTTGAGGAGCTGAATCAGCCTGAAAATATTCTACCTTTGTGTTTGACATGCTTTTCCCCCAGGATGTTTAAACTGTTTTTCCATTAGCTGTCTAAGAGTTAAGGAACAGGTTCAAGGGAAAACAAATCAGAGACAAAAATAAATTGTTTTCTTAGATGTATGAAAGCACTTACATACAGGAATGAATGGAGAGCTATAAGTACAGGTTACACTGTATAAGGACAAATCCTTCTATCCATTTTTCATATCATGTCCAATAATGTGGCCCAGACAGAGTATGTCGCACTGAGCTGTTACTTGGCAAACTAGGTACCAGTGAGATTCTGCTTACTATACATCATCTGTCCATCACTGTTTGTCAGCTTTATTCACTGCAGTGCTGCCTTTAGATAGCCTAGCAAGAATTGGCCTGTGCTGAGAAACAGCCTGTTTGGCAATTGTATTTCAAAATATATGGCAATTCCCCAGTTGCAGCAGCAAGATCACTTGGGTTCCTGAGCTAACTCCAGAGGAGTTAACTTGGGTACCTTTATTCTGTACTACAGTGCGGTGTAGAAATGCCCAATACTTTTCTATAGCCATCTGGTTGCCTGCATCTCTATTCTGCCTTCCAACAGCCTGCAGAGCACTGAAATGCTGAAGGGATCTCCTCTCAGCTCATTCAATCAGCCAGTAAAGTACTGACACTGTGTCACTGTCCACATCAGTGGTAAGGCATGGTCTCGATACACTGCGTATTGGGACCTGCATTATAAATGAACACATCCTTGCAGTCCTCTAACAGGATAGGGACAACCGCTGCAGAAGGAACTTGTACATAATAAAACTTCTTTGTTGTATTTAGTTTCCCATTAATAAGGTTATATCTACAGCCTCCTAGCTATCATACAAGTATTTACATATTCAGGCTTCTCAGGATCTTCTGTTATCTCTGGAAATGCGTGTTTTAGATAAGGCTGCAGCTTCAGTTGTGTTGTATGCCAGTTACAGTGCACATTCCTGGTGCGCACAACCAGCTGCTTGCTCTGCAAGCAAGCAGAGCCCTGGTTTCAAGGGGATCCAGGTGGAGCACGGCTTGTCGCCGTCCGTCTGTTAGCAGTCACATCATACACATGTACAGACTGGGAACTTCTAGCTACTGTTTTTTGACTCAAATTAACCTTAGATTGAAACTGTGAATTAAAATAGCTGAGGTCATACTTGTGGTGAGCACATGTATTACCACATCTGCTGTAGAAACTGTTCTTATACAGACAGAAAGGATCATGCAGGGGTCCATAGATCACATACAGCTCAGAAAAGCTTAGCCATCTACACTGATTCCTCAGTTACTGTGGTTAGATTATTAGGGTGACAGATCAGGTTGTGGGTGTTCCTGCAGAAACAGCTCAGCACTTCAGGCTGAGGATATTAAAAGAAAGCAAGCATCGCATGAACAGAGTAGTATGACCCTCGGGGCTATTTCACCTCCTGGGCTGTTACATGTGTTTTCCTAGGGCATGGAAACGTCCCTCGCACTTTATTCCATTCCCAGGATTTTTTAAGGAGAGACACCTTTAGAGACACCTTTGATGTGCTATGGAAGAACCACGGAGAGCACAGGGTGAAGTCACCTTGCTGTTTTCATGCAGGATCCAATTCAGCTGAGCTGGGCTTGTTGGGCCTGGCTGTGTCAAACGTGAGCAGGTGCCATCCCAAGCCACGGCCTCTCAGCCTGCCCACTGTGCTCTGCGGCCTGGAGGGGTCTCAGGCTCCGAGGAGGGTGCGTGTGGGCTCCTCCAGCTCCCCTGGGCAAGGACTCAGCACTGCGCGGCAGAGATGCTTGAGCAGGTCGCCAGGCCCACAGCTGATATGGCTGATCTCAACCTAGTGCTAGCAAAGCTGGCTTGGACACTTTTAAGATTCAGCTGAACAGGATGCTGGGCTATCTTATCTAGACTGAGCTTTTGCCAAGAGAGGTTAGACCAGATGATCCTCGAGGTCTCTTCCAACCTGATATTCTATGATTGGTTTTGACCCGATTTCTTGTGCGGCTAGTTCACCTGCAAACCTGGGTACCTGTTGTCTGAGTACTTCTGCCATCCAAAGTGTCTGAGCCCCTGCTGGGCTCCCTTGTGCCCTACAGCCTTGCATCATGGAGAGTCAGTGGTTGCTGTTCCTGACTCATCAGCAGGCATGAAACGTGAGTTACGGCTGAAGCGTGAAAGCACTACATCAGCTATAGAAACTAACTGCACTTGACACTTGGGCAAAGACACGTATCTGGCAAGTTGTGCCAATGTCCTTATCACCCCTGTCCACTCAGCTGCTTAAATACAGCACTGTGCTTCAGGATGGCAGGGTAAATAGTAGAGCAGACTAGAAGTGAAACACTGTTCTTACAAGACTTAATTTATGATTATCTAAATTGATAGCACTAACTATACTGAAATACATAACCATGTCAGGCTGAGGTATTATATTTATCCTCCTTTGATCTAGTGAGAACTACATACAACTATACAACTAGGTAGAGGCATCGTTCCCTTCTGATCTGCTGCCGTTACCTTCCTGTGTGTAAAGTGCAGCCAGAGTTGGAAAGTGACTTTGCAATAGCAGCATCCTCTTATACAGCACGATAAGCTCACTGTAGGCATTTACAGTTTATAGTCTGTAGAGCTACTCAGCTGACCTAGTGTAGGTGTCTGCTTCAGGATGAGCTGAACAGCTCTTCAGGCCTCACCGAATGTATCAGCTAAATTCTGCAGTGGCTATAACAGGAGGCTAGACTAGTTGCTCCTAAAGGAGACACCTGTTCAGATATGTTGTTGGTATCTGAATCTAGGTATCTTAATAGATATCTGAATTCCATCATAGGTATTTTTTTTGTACGTGCCTGCTAAGTCTTCCGTCAGTTATACATCTATTTTATGCTTGATGAAGTGAAGACCCATCTTCACATGCTGTGGTGCCATAAATTCTCTTACCAGTTTACACTTCAAACAAACGCACTGAACAGGAGAGTAATTTCTTTATATTAGATGTTGGGCAGCACTTGTATGGTTTAGCAATCTGTGTGTTATTTCTTATTCTCCTTCTTACTGTATTTTTAATATTTAAAGGTAATTCCTTATGGCAGATTCTTGATGTATACTGTTCACTGCCCAAGCTGAGGAGAAGTACTGAGATGGAAGCAGAGGTGGAAGGGGGACATGCTTGGGAAATCTGCTAGTATATTCTAAATTAAACTTTCCCTTGCAGACCACTGATCAATCAATACCCTGATTTATTTTTGTTCTTAAATAATTGTTCCATTCCTACTGTAGGCTGGCGGTGCCCTGAGGTAACAGGGAAGGAACTGGGACAAGCCATCACAAAGGCAGGGCAGCCGTGGAGGGCTGCAAGCCTTGTCAGAGGATGACAGGACTGCTTGGAGAACAGGCCAACTTCTGTGGTTTATAGATTAAGGCAGGAAAGAGTATTTAAAGGGTATCCTGAGGCATGACTGGGTATGCTTTTTGGCTATTTTCTTATACCTCATCAGATTTTCTTAGTGTTACAGCTTACGTGCTTTGATAGGAATCCTAACCTTATGAGAGGTAAAAACAAACAATCTGAAAAACAGCAGTGTAATGCAACATGGGTTATTAAAAACTGTATTCTAAATTCACATCTAAACCCTAGGTTCACACAAGGGCTCATATGTATACACTTGGGGGCCTGCTTAAGAATGGGAAAGCAGGTTATTGATGTATTTCATGAACTCAGATGGAAAAGTAATCTTGTTCGGATGATGTAAAAGACAATTGCTTTTAATCCCTTTGAATGCGTGGATTTATCTTGGAATATGACACATGCCAAATCACAGTCTTCAATATCTGAGAAATGGTTCCAGCACTGCTTAGAGTTTAGGTTTTTGAAGATAAGAATAATATCTCCTAAAATAAACATAAGGCATGCAAAGAAGTGTCAGTGAAAGCTTGTTAATGAGGGAGTGGAATGAGAAATTGAATGTAAAATCTTACATTTGATGTTTTAAATCTTGATTCAGATCTTCATAGGAGTAAACTTCAGCTAGGATTAAAAAAAAAAAAAGATCAAGAGAACCACATAAAAAAAAAAAGTTGCAGTCTATTTTTTGAGGCCTAATAGAACCAAGACAGAGGAAATGCAGTTGCATCCTTATATATTTGTGAAGTAATATACCGAATGAATATAGGTAATCTTCCTGCTGTAGAAAAAGACCTAGCTTTAATTAGCAATCTTTACTATGAGAGAATGTTTAGCTAGTTTGGAGGACTTAACTTGAATCCTGGATTTTGGGATGAACTTGCAGAACTGTCAGTTAAATAAATGTGAGGCTTTTTTTGTTTTTTTTTTTTTTTTTGTAACCTGAGGATATTTGTGATGGAAGTCACTATGAGAGAAGAAGAGGGGAAATAATGCAGTCTTGGTCTGTTTTTAATTTAAAACTGTTCTTACAATACAGATGCATATATATATATATATATTTATGTGTGCAGCAGAAAGACTCTCAAATTTCTCTCAGTGTGCAGGGGAATTTGATACAATAAAGTCATTTAATTAAACCTGCCTTTTTAGTTCCAGTAGGTACTTCAACTATAGGGTTTAATTCTATTTCAGCCTGTCCACAAAACAGCTGAGAACTCTGGCATCTTGAGAACAGTTTTGATACTATGCACACTAATGTCACCAGGCTAAAATGTTATAGGCTGCATATACATGAAAGTTTCCAAGCTTTGAACAGGCAGTAACTAACAATTCAAAGACTGTTTCTTGAGGCCGTTGATTGACAGTGGTAATAGATGACAATTCTCACGCATACACAATCACTGTCAAAAACCTTAAAATCAAGCACACAAAGTTGGGTATCTTATCTGAGTTCCTTTTGGCTTTGATATTCATTAGTGCACCTGCAAAAGTGCATTTAACCTACCGGACTCATTCAAATATCTGTAAAGGCATTCGCAAACACTGTTGAGTTGTATTGTCATTCCTCCAATTGTGCTGAATTGTGTCTTAATGCTAGCTAGTGCTTTTTCCGTGGTTTACTGAAGTTCTGCCAGAAGGTAAACGTGACTGCAGTCCAGTGTCCACTGAAGTTAATGCAAAGGTTTCTGTCGACTTCAGCAGGAGATCTGATAATGCACTCTTACTTTTCTTGAAGTTAATGTTTAGTGACTCCAAAAACACATACTGGCCAGAAAGGTTGGATTCCAAGGTTAGAATTCTGACACCCAATATATTCTACATAAAATACTTACACACTGGAAAAAAAGAAAACTGAATATGGTTTCTTATCAAGCATAGAAATAAGGGGTAATATATGATGAAGGCAGTAGGGATTGTGGAAACCAGAACGGAGAGGAAAAGTATCTGGTGAATTAATACAATAGCACATTAAAAGAACAGAGGAGTCAAAGATTCATGTCGCTAAAGTAATTACGCACTCATGGGATAGCACTGATGTATTCGTATGGTGCTATTAAAGTATCAGACAAAGAATTAAAAAGAAATACAGAAAAACTAAGACAGTGAGGGAAAAAGTTCAACACATTATCCAAAATGTGCTCATCTGTACATAAAAAAAAGTGCAAAAGTTAGAAAAGTTTTTTAGGAAGATTCAAAATCCTATTTTTTATAGAAACGATTGGACTAGGAATGGGAATAGGCAAAAACGTAACAAGGATTGCAAAGTATGACATACTTGGTTATCAAATATGAGACCATACTGAAGAAATTCTGGAGAATGGGGCGAATGAACACACATAATGTTCATAAATGCAAGGCTGGGTATGTTACGGAGAAAAGTTTTTTATCCACTTCATTAATTTTTAAGTTTATGGTCTCCAGAAAGGGCCTTTTGAATTACTTTTAACAATTCAGTGAAGGCCTCTTTCAGATGTATAGTCCGATCAGAAAAGAAGATGGGATGGGAAATATTTAAATAGAACAGAAAACTATGTTATACTATTATATATATCAGTAATACAGATTTATGAGTACTGTGCTGAATTATGGGGATCCAACAAGAGTGACATCTGTGAATGAGGACATGTAAAACACCAAAAATAAAGTGGTGGAAGAGACTGGAATTATTTCATGTAGTAGGAGGAAAATAAGAGGAACTCTGATGATAGAATATATATGGAATGATGAATACTCTATTGAAAGCAAGCCAGAACCTAGTCATCATGGGTCTGATCCATTCTATCTAGCTTTGGATACTTACCATATAGATGTCTATGACTGAAGTAGTCAGTTTGGGCTCCCTTTGTGGCCAATGGAGAGAAATAGGAGCTGTTAAAGGACTTTTCCTCTGACCTGCTGACTTCAGTGGCTCGAAAGGGAAGGGAGTTCTGCTGAGCTTTGGTCAGAGGAATCCCACAGTGTTTCTATATACAAGAAATCAGTCACTGAATCAGGGATGTGAAGTTAAAACTTGGCTGGATAAGAAGATTTATTTTTATAGAACCTCATACCGTGGAAGTAATTTTACACAATCAGTTGGTTGTGTGCTCTGGCATGGAGCGCCCAGGCTTGCGACATTCATCACTGGTTTGGGTGTAAAGATAGACACAACAGGCCCTTTCAATATCACCACACTTATTTCCAGTAAAAAAACCCCAACTTTCAGAGAAGACTTAAAAGGATGAATTTCAGCTTAAAGAGACTGATCTCCCCAGACTCCTTCCACAGACAGAAAAGCTCCCTCGAGAGTAGGTGAAGAAGGCCTTGGCTCTGCACTGGCCTCCAGAGACATCTCTCTATTCCTGCTGACTGTAGAGTATGACTAGGAAGATCAGTCTTCATGGATACAAACAGACTCTAACTGGAAGGATGCACATGAATGCTTTTGGAGAGAAGATAATCCCAAGTTCAGTTTGCCTCTTGTCTTCCTCTGTGGTATCTAAAACTGGTTCTGGTGGTCACCTGTGTTGTTTCTTTAAGGAAGAACACTTGTAGTGTAAATCTGTGTGCAGTTATTTTAGTATTTAGAAGACAGATTTTCTAAAAATATGTATTTGAAGTCTTGCTTGGTTTGCCTTGTTTCAGAATCTTACAGGCATGAAAATGAGTCAGGCAGTAGAATCTAGGAATGAGCAACTCCCTCTCAGCGCAAAGAACAAGAAAAGGTTTGTCACTGTCCAGTGACACAGCATTCACATGATACCGGAAACTACAAGTTGCTTAATGGTGTTAGAGCAACCTCATTGTGATGCCCATGTGATTTAAAAATCTCTAGTGTTTCCTCAGTGACTTGGTCTCAGGTAGCATACTGTGTATCCTTGAATATTTTGTAATACTTTTCTGCTCTTCTGTGAGTGCTGTCTTAACATCTAAAACAGTGCTGTCTTTGCCAAACAGATATTATTATAATCTTCATGTTTTTAATTGTGATTGCTCTATTAATATACGTTTTCAATTTTGGCTTCAACTAAAGGATAAATAACACAGATGACACGAGAAGCATCTGTTCGTTTCACTGTTGAGAAGGAATGACTGGCCCTTCTAGTTTTGTATTGAGCACAGGAGTAGCAGCTCTCATACATTACATCACTTTTGACTATTGTCTTCATTTTTGAGTACCAAATCTTGAAATTTTCCAGATTTGGGTTTTTGCTCTGGCAAAATCTCACTGAAGGAATGAGTAAGCATTTTGGGTTTTGATCTGAGGACTCTGCCCTTGTAACATTATCATTGTTGATATGGAATTAATTTTCCACCTGAAATCATGATCCTCTGCCTTTATCGCATTATAATCCTCCCCAGAGCAACTGTTTGTGATACTGCAGGCAGATTATGACTTCAAGTGAAGAATAAGCTTCAGCAAACAGAAGCAGATGAGCTCATAAAGAGATAAAGATCCCATTTTCTTGCTAGTAATAATCAGCAAAAGAAAAAAAATATATAAAATATAAAGGAGAAGCACTGTCTATAAGCAGACTTTTCTGGAAGTCACAAGTGACTTTTTCATATCAAAACATAATACTCGATTGGTGAACCTTGAAGTATTTTGAGGTCAAGCCACTCAGTGAGACAGTCCCACATATTTAAATCCCTATCTGGCATGCATTTCTAGAGCTGCTTAGCTTCTACCAAATTCTTCTGTTACATAAACATACTTTCCCAAAGAGTTTTATCCAGCTAATGGGGATATAAGCATAGTGAGGGAGCAGCTGCAGAGCAGGGTATATAACCAGGCTTCGGCCAGTAGCCATCATATGTAAATGAATCCTAATGCTTTTAACATTTAGAAAATCTCTTCTGAATTCAGAATTTGGAATAGAATTGCTGGGTATTCTGGTCTCTTATGGAATATTTTATTTTACTGTGAAGTAATCTCGGATGCACGCTAACTTTTTTTGTAAAAGAAAATTTCTACAAGAAGTAAGCTCTGTAATAGTAGGCTCTCTGTGGTGTGTTTTTCCCTGTCACCCTCAATAGTCCTAGGATCACACTGAATGATACATTGTAAGTATCTATTAGCTATTTCACAGTGCAGAGAAAAATGGGGCAATAAGTTTTAACACCGCAACAGTGTGGCGGAATATCTCACAGATTTACACCTCTGAATGTTTATAGAGATTTTCCTAAATCTGCCCGGATCTGCTGGCTGCAGCGGCTCCCACTGCGCTGCCTGCGTTGGTCGATACGGACAGGGACCTGCTTCCACTGAGATACAGGGAGTCAAAACCTGGCTCTGCCTGTGGTCTTAACGACTCTATTGCTTCAGTAGAATAGGAGGGATCATAAAAAAAGGATTCAGGAGATTTTGGCCATATCTTTTCAACATATGTGTATATCTAGCCATGATGGACCACATACATGAACCTCCCAGATGGACTAAGTAGGGTTGGGCTCTGTTCCTGTCCCACCTGTCCAGTGTCCAGCACTAGAAAGTTGCTACCTGGAAGTTTCTGCACCCTGGCACTTCAACCTTTTCACATCATCTGTTGCATGCAATGTGTATCTGTAGCAATTACTAGCATGTGTATGTAAATATATGTTTGTGTGGTTTGGCTATTTAGGGGTATATTTACTTACTGAAGCATGCCTTTAAATAATGAAAATAGCTCTCTGTCTTTCTGAGTGACCAGAACAGACTGCAGCTCTCTTCCCTTGCAGTCTCATGAATATTAGAGTGGTAAATCAAATTTGCACAGAGCCATATATCTGACTTTTGATTGCTTCAGTTTACCAAATAACAACATTTTAGCATAACTTTTCTATGCTGATTTCTTAATTAAAACAACAACAACAACAAAAAAAGCAAAACAAAACAGAAAAAACGAACCCAAAAGCTAAGGGAATGGGGAAAAAAGAACAGCAGGTTTATATGGAAATGTATTGCTCCCACTACTTTTCAGCTGGCAGGAACTCAGGATATTTAGATTCATAGCATAGATTTCTGCAGTTTTAGCTAAAATCTCACCTTGCAGAAGTTTGATTCTTTATAGGGACCAGCTATATCTGAGTGTTGAGTTTGTCACAGAAGGACTTCAGCAGGGATATTTTGCTAGAAGAAAAAAGAAGGTAGAAAACTAGGAATTGTTGCATCTATTCTTAGTTTTGAAAGGGAATGTAGTCCATAAATTGCAGACTATCACTAAGGACGTAGATTTGGCTCACTTATTCTGAAAACTGATGTGACTAAAGTGAATGACACTCTTATTTACAACCTGGCCAAGTTTAATATCAACCAACACTGTATTCAGTACAAATGACACACGGCAGCCTCATGCATGCTCATGAGGGGACTCAGTGAATTGAGAGAATGCTCATTGTAAATGCTCTGCAGGTAACAATACAAGGCTAGCTTTATATGTGCTGCCATTAAAGGACTGAAATTCTGTAGGGCTATGAGACCTTCTGGATGATGCTCAGAGCTTTTCACAGCAAGTGTCTAAAAAGCATTTGTGAAGGGCAGATTTTCCTGAGACTATCAATTTGGCTAAATATACATGTATTCCTCAAATGATAGCAAAAGACAGGACTCTGTCTTGATTATTTTATTTCAAAAGGTAAGGTCTCCCCCCAAATCTATCAGCATCAGAACTCCTAACAGGAACCGTTAGCCATAATTAAGTGTTGCCAGCTACCAATTTTTCTTCACTTTCATTATCAGAAAAAAATGCACCTTTTCAGCTCACACTCCCTAAAACAATTTCTCACGAGGCCAAGAATTAACCTGGAAAATTTTAATTATAAATTTAAAATTAGAACTATTTAGTTATAAATAACTAAGAGTGTGAGCTTATAAAGAAAAGCAACAGGAGTTACTGCGACTAGCTGTGTTAGTAATACATATGATTGAGAAATATAAAGCAGATGTGATATTAACAGCACTTAGCAACATCTTGTTATTGTTACGTGCAGTATATATGGACATTATATTAATTTAAGATGGGCATGCTTGTACCTGAAGTCGTTGTTAAGTTCCTGTATGATTTTTCTGTTGTTACATGGCTCCATTCTGGGAGATGTCAAACACAATGATCACTTTTTCTGTTATAGGGCTTTAGATCAAGTCCTCGTCATGCTAGAAGACGTGTAGCACCTCGCCTTGAGGAAACACAACCTATAGTGGAAGCTCACCACCTAAGTGAGCAGGAAACTTCTGTAAGGAAAAGAAAAATCAAGAAAAGCAGCCGAGTTCAACCAGAATTTTATCATTCTGTTCAAGTTACCCCAACTCGAAAACCTGTAAGTATTTTACCTTTAGGGATAAATAGCACTCAAAGTATATTATAGAGGCATGTAATATAATTCTACTTTTTGGGCCACCCATATTCTGTTCCTCAATTTAAAAACCTTTTCAGTTCTCATGTTCAGCAAATCTAGATAAAAGTTTGTTAGACTGTAATTAATGTTGATGCATAACTCTAAAAAAAATCCAGTTCAGAAGAGGGGTTCTTGAATTTTGATGTTTGTTTAATATTCAGCCTATAGCCAATATTCAAATAAGGTATTATTTCATTTTTATAGAGATATTACTTAACAAGTTTTTATAGCACATGTGTATGTTATTGAAATTCCTCATTCAGATTTATCAGAGATTCTATGTACTGAACCAAATTTATATTAAATCTCACTACTAGATATAATTTTGAGGTCTCTTCTGCTTTAAACAGTATTTACAATCTTTCTGCTCAACAAAACTTGTACCAAATCTTGTAATTCTTTGCTCCTCATCTTGATCTACATAATTCTTTTAATAATGATAACCTACTTCTAGTGAGCAAATATGACAATTAATTTCATTGAACACTTAGTTCTTAACGTAAATGCGTATGAAGATACTTCCTGCAGACATAATGGATTTCTCTTTTTAATGAGAACTCATTGCTTCGATGCATTTGCTGACTAACCTGTCTGTGCCAATGTTAAGGGGCTTCAGCTACTTCTATTGAGCCAGTATTATTAAAAAGGGAACTATTGAGCATACCCTAAAAAAGGTTATCTTGAGATTATCTTGCTCCAACCTAACCGAACCTTCCCAGATTTGTGTTAATTGAGCACCAAGAATTATCAGTGAGCTCTGAAGTTGATTTGAGAAAGAGTATTCTATCATAGAAGTACATAGTCTGAGAGAGCAAGAAACTTGTGCAAAGAACAGAAAGCCAGAGCTGCAAACAACTGCCAGAATTTTTACCTTTTAGCAGATACATTTAATTTCTATGCTTTCACATCACTACTCCCCAATTTTCCCTGTTCTCTGAGGCTTCTACTTATATATTTTACTCTGCTGCTGCTTCTGTCATTTAATTTGCTCTGATGGATTCATCTTCTGCTGTTCTTAAAGGATCTCTTCTTCCTTTCTTCTCAACCATCTCCCTTTCACTCCCATCCTATCTCACTCTCTAGAGTACTCTAACTCACTCTGTTGTTCTTACCAGGTCTCCAGCCTCTCACCAGGCTCTTCTCTGTTCATTACTTGCTTCTGGTCCTTTGCGCACTTTATTGTCTTTCATCTCTTCCATCACCTCCTCTATTATTTTCCACTCTACTCCTGTTTTCTTGATTCCCTTTTTTGTTTGCTTGTTCTTCACTTTTTCCATGGTAGGCCTATGCTGAGGGTAAGCTTGCCTGTAATTGCTGAGGCTATTACCAACTGCCACTGACTAGCAATATGGGAAAAAGCATCGGTGGTGCTGAATTAAAGAACTAAAATGGTGGAAATGCTGTAAGCAGCAAAACAAGCTTTGAAGAATGGATAAGTGAAGTTAAGAAAGCTATGCTTTTCCCCAAAGTTGGTGACACATCAAGGACTTCAGCCCCATCAAAGAAAAAAAAAGTATAAGTATAGAAAATGTGCAGTGTTACATAGTAACTTCACTTTCCTATAATTTCATGGGTCCATGATATATCTGACAAGACCTGCCACTGAAACAATAAATCCCAGATTTAGAGAAAACTTCTCTCAGTGGTGTCACCATTATGTCACTATCTTGAAATTGTTTTTGCATTATATCTTTTATACAATATCATATAGTTCTCTTGAGAGCCTTTTGTTCTACAGCCTTGATGAACTCATGTTTCTACAAAAAGAAAAAACAAACCCCACAAAACATTATCTTTATTAGACTGTGATCCAGAAAACATAAGTCACCGATTTAATTTCTCATGCACATTTTAAGTTATTCTGAATATAATATTAAAACCATGGTGACAGGGTGAGTAAGGTTCATGCCATGACAAATCACTTCATCGTTGTGAAGTTCCATACAGTCACAATGCTGTCCATCCCAGTTTGTCGCAGCTTTGTTCCACTTAGTTTCAACATCTTGAAGATGAGACTTTTGGCCTTTATCTTTGTTAGTTTTACATGATTCAGTGCCAGAAATGCTCTTGTTAGTCTGCATAATTCCTTTCCATTATTTTTTCCTGTTATTCCTAGCTCTGACCACTTGAACCACTTTAAATAAATCATCTGTTGTCTTGATGTTTACACTATGGAACTGTTTGTAGGCAGCTATGGCCATATCCTGCTTAGTCATCACTTGAAAAAAAGAAGACATATGATGTCTGCTAACTAGAAGACATAATTTCTCCTCATAAACCAGTTCTCCTTATGATAATTTTGTTTGCTTTTTTCCTACTCATGTTTTTTTTGTCCCTATTTTCTGACAAGAGAGAATGGTATTTCGAAAGTAACCATAAAACAGCCTTATGGAAACATTTTCCTTTGCTCCAGGAAATTTTTGAGTAATCAGTCCTAAAATATGTTAGCCTGTTCAGTTGCCGTATTAAAATATATGCTTAAAGACTTTTCAGATATTTTATTACAAGGTTTTTTTTTTGATATTTAGATACTAGACTTTCTTAGTGCTGCTAATTTAGACTATTTTGTATTTGGTTGTTTCTGTTGTGTCTAAATCTTGTTTTGCAGTTTCCTAGCCACAGCTATAATTATCTGAATTTGCTTGGCTTATTTCTCACTTCCTGCATATCAATCTGAGATCTTTCCAGTATTGTCCCTGATCTTGTCAGAATTAAGCTAGGTGTAACTGTGTATATGGGCATAATCCCATTGAAGACAATAATTTCCCTTGAAAATCTACATGAGCAGATGTTTGCAGAAATCGAACATTAGTTTTCTCTGAAAATTTAATCAGTTTTTTCCACCTTCTAGGTCATTAGTGAAGACACTAAATACATTTTGTCCCAATACTGATCCTTACCAGACAGAGGTCATAGCCATTTTCACTTTATTTTATTCATCTAACTGCAGTGCAACATGAACATAATGGTGTTTAGCTTACACCTTCTATGGCATGTTGTTGTATGCCCTGTAGGCCACGCTTTCATTGGTGGCTGTATTATTTGTGCTGACATTCTCTATAGGTGACAGTTTTACATCAGCTTCACACCAAGAAGAGTACAGATACCCGTTACTGAAGTGTGCTTTGAAATTTTGAATACAGTGGAGAACTCTTGAGAAGAAACAGAACCATGTTCTTTAAATTAGCATGACTTCATGCAAGTCAAAGAAGTCATACGTATCATTCCTTTTAAGATTCAGGTAGCTGATTTTGTATGGGCAGTTAGATTTTTCTGAAGGTGTGTATGGATGTGCAGAGGTCTCCTGTTGTGAGCTTGCTGCTGTCTAGCAGTACTTTTCTAGGGCAAATTTTAAACTGGGGGTTTTAGTACAAGCATTTTACAAATATTATCTATATTTTAAAAAAGGTGTCTGTTCTGGGGCAAACGTATAAAATTCTGCAAATTATTAATAGGGTTTTTTTTACTGTGCTGGCCTGGTACCAAAAGATGGACATGAGCTTGTGTAAACATCCAGCTCCTGAGCTGTGGGGTCAGTTAGACATACAGTTCTGCCAAATTCTAATTTCACCTGTATGTCTAAATACATAATTGAAAAGAGATGCTGTCAAAGCATCGTCTTTGACATCTCCACTGTTAAACAGTTTGAAGGGCTCTGAAATTGCCTGACTCATGCAGTCACCAAGGATTATTTAAGATCATGAGATAATAGTACCAAAATTTGCACTTGAGTTTGTCATAACAGGATCACTGTAAGACGTGTGGCAGATGAGACTACAGACATATGGGCATAAATAAACCTAGTTCCTTCACTTTCAGACGTGAAATCCCTGTTTCTACTCAAAAGCCACACATCCAAACTTACTGGCCTACTTTGCCCCAGCACTGTATCGACAGCATATATTGAGGTGATTATTTATTGCATACTGTTAAAAAAATAAGTATCTCCGAAGTAACCTCCAAAGAATAAACTGATGACAAATAATGATCTTGGAAGCACTGCTGCTCATAGGTATCCCTCAGTGTCTCCTAATGAACCTGTTTCTAATTATTTAAAGACCACTCTTTGCTGGAGCAATTTGGCTCCTTTGGGGTGGGTGCAGCGTTGCTACAAGTCACTACAAGGGAACAGAGAGGGAGGTCAGATGTCTGGGGGAACACATGTAAAAAATCTACTGATGTGAGCAGCTTGATTTGGCTCCACTGAAACTACTCCCATGACTGAAGTGAAGTTTGCGCTGTCAAGACTCTGATGATGCAAACTTGAAAGCAAAGTTAATCAGTTTCTAATGCATTTAAAACCATGAGCTGTCCCACCCATGGTCTCATTCGGCTATCCTTGTTTTCGCTTTTATGTGTTTAAGCCTTAAAAGTGATGAGAAAAACAGTATAACCATTCTGTAAGAAAAACACGAGGGTTTTTTTAACATCTGATACTAAGTCATTTACAGAAGAAGTCTGGGTATTACTTGACACTTAGCTTACTTGAGATGAAATTTTTCGTAGGGATGAAGTTGTTCTAGAGGGCTTTTTAGGAGTTTTTAATATGTCTCATTAAATAGTTGCCATATCATTTTGTTAATTTCCATTTATTCTTACTCTGGTGTTATTTATTGATTTTCCAATACCATGATGTACTCTACATGATATTAGTATGACCCAATACAGATGCCATACAAAAATTACTCACCAACCTGCACAAGACTTGGTTAATTCCAAGTATTAGCTATTTGATCTATAGATCACATTCATACCTTCGTTCTTTTGGAGATAGCTGCTTCTGTTGGACTGTGTCTCCTGTGAATCACACTGAGAAGCAAGTATGGAAAAAAAATT